CCTGCCACCCATGTTCTCCTAGAAACTGGACAACCTTGGAGGGGCCATCTTGAAAACTAGGGGTGCCTCTGATCCCTTTCCTTGAAAATGACACAGGTGATTTAGGAAACTAGTGAGAGGTCTCTGAGCTAACAGGGTTAGGATTAAGGAAGCACAGAGGATCTTGATCCAAGGTATTTGGGGGGAACCTGAGATCAGTTTAGATACAGAGGAAGATTGTTGGATATTTAAGCCCACCCTAGTGTCCAAAGAGCACCAAGTCTCCCTGATACCCTTCACTGGTGTCATGGAGAGTCCCTGGAACTGCAGTACAACCTCCTCAAGCATCTGAGCTCACACTGGGTGCTGGCTAGAAGGCCTCCATCTCTTCCTGAGTAGCCAATGCTTCCCAGGTACAGGCCTAGGCAAGACTATTTAGTAGTCACGTGCATTCCTAGAAGCTTTAGAGTGTCCAACGAGGGCAGTCACTGTGGACTCCTGTACAAACAAGGAGTTTGCTTAAGGGTGATGGGGTGTCTCTTTGGACAGGGTCACCGCAGAGGTCTTCTGATCCGCTACCATAATGTGCTTAATGTGCTTCATACTAAAACAATGTCTTTAAGGTAACTATTAGTGAATTCAGTTTTTGAAATGTTATTCCTACCCTAGGGGGTTTCAACATATAGGTACCAACTTATACAAATAAATGAAAATACACACACTCTCACTCACTCAACCTGAAGTAGTCTTCTATAAAACTTGCATGCACTTTTCTTCTTAATTCTTTGAGAATCTGGAGGCAAGTTGAGTCTCTGTTGGCTGTGGTATGTGTTCAGCCTCCTTCCATAGGGAATCTGGCCCCGGAGGATGGCAACAAGCTCCTGTTTGGGCAGCAGCTGCCCAGTGGAAACAGGCAGAGTGAAAGTGACTGGTGGTCTGGAGGTCTGGTTGTGGCAGCCCAGGCTGAGCCCTATGGAATCACTGCCTTCCGGAAATGCAGGGCACTGTGGAGGGTGAATGCTCCATTTCTCTCATCTTTCAGGTGCAAAAAAGGTACAGAGAAGGGAAGTATCTGCTGGGGTCTCCCAGCTGCTGTGTATAGGACCAAGCCTGGAACTTCCCCACTTCTCTGCCAGAGCCCCTTCTCTGCACAGCACTTGACATTCATCTCAGCAGGCAAACCATTCCCAGGGAATTCCATTACCTTATCTTTTTTGCATGACGGAAGAGACAAGAAAGTGGGTAGCAGTGATTTCAACTATGTGATCAGTAGATTCTAGAAAATGTGCATCTTTTAAAAAGTAATTGCTATTTTTCAATGGTCAGATTCTTCTGGGCCCAAACCGGTATATACAGTAAGGTTGAGATCTCTGTATCCTTCTGAAGGTCATGGTCACTTTGCAAAATGGGTCTGATACTGAGAAAACATAGATCTGTCCCCTAAGGGTAGTGGAGGAGCCTTTACAGATATGTAAAGTTTGTAGACTTTGGGTCTAAGAACAACAGAAATAGAGCACTTTGTAGATTTCTCATATATTATTTAATTTAATCTTTGCCCTAAATTGAGATTCTGAAGCTGCGGAGGAGTGATGAGAAACACTAGATCTTCATCATTCGCTACCCCTGGGTAACACTCTGGTTTTGCCTCAGGGTAGTCCTTTGATCTTTGGACGAGTACAGTAAACTTTCTGAGCCTCAGTTTTTTCCCCTGTAGAGAGAAGACGAGATCAACCACTTCTCAATGTTGATTAAATACAGTGATATAAGAAAAACACCCAGACTATACTTCTTTTATATTTATCTGGATGGAGTTGTAACACGCTCTTTTTAGTGAAGTATCACCAGAATGGAAATGCAAGTATTCAATGTACTCAATACTAATATGAAGCCAAAAGAAAAACAACTACGTGCCCGTATATTCAAATGGGGGGGAGGGAGAGGAGGGAACGGGGGATGGAGAGGGCGAGGGGCATTGGTAATCTCTTACCCGATGGGCACAATGGGAGGGTAAGAGATTGGATGAAGTGCTCTACTTCAACTTCACCTTAGAAACACAAGCAAGGTAACCCAACCATTTCTCCCCTCCTATTAATCTGAGTTTAAAAAAATGTCAGAAAACAAAAGAAAAAAAGAAGACAAGGAAAGCACCCATCGCAGTCCCTGGCTTCCCGCACCTTGTTTTGGGTGTGGACCTGCCTCTACTTTGGGGTGGCTTCAGGTTGAAATCCTAATCACTCTAAGCCTATAAATTACATTCTACAGTCCCTACATTACAGAGGGTAAGAAGAAGGTTAAGCCGAGAAATTTTAAAAGCACTCTAGGTCTACAACCTCAGAAAGGGCTTAAGAAAAATGAGATTCAACCTGGCAGTATTAGGGAAGACAAGTCCCAGGTATGATGGTCCTAAAGGCACTGGGGCTAGCTTGGGAGAGAAAAACCTGTGTCTCCACTTTTCATGAGAAATTAGATCAGAATGTATTATAAAAAAGCCCTGTTCAACTGTACCCCAAATGAGCAGCAATGTTAACTCCATTCCTAGTTGAAGTCAGAGAGTACAGCTTTGACAGCTAAAAGGAGACTGCCTTGCAGCAAGAATCTTAAAATGAACTCATTTGATAATCAGGGCATTTGCATAACCTGTTTCTCATGGCAGCCAGTTATGACTCTCCCGAGTTCAAAGATCCCAGAATTGATGCTGGATGCTGAGATCGAGTATCCTAGTTGTCTGTCTATCTAGTGTGCACGTAGGGCACATTTGCCAGGCAGTGTCTGAGTTAGCACACCATATCTCTGTCTTAGGCAAAAAACAGGACATCCTTAATTGGAGGAGAAAACCAAGGTAGGGGATGACTCCAGAAGTTGAAGCTTTGGCAAAGGCGCTGATAACTGTTCCCATGCGATGGGGGTGGCTGGTGGCTTTGTCTCCCTTCTTCTGACATGACCACTCACTGATGTGGATCAGTCTTTCTGACCGTCCCCAGAAGAGCCATATTCAATGGCTAGGCCTTTACTTCTAAATGCTGAACCAATTTTCTACTTATAAGATGTTATCAAACCCAGGTGCCTTTAAGCACGTTTTGAAGATTAAGGCAGCCTGCGAGTCCCCAACACCAACCCCAGATTAACAGCTCAGCCCCAGAAGCAAACAGAAAATCTTCAAGGCTGTTAAAACATGTGGGCAGCAAATGGCATGTCAACTCACACAAGGAGAGATCTACCCTTCTTAGCTTGCCATTGTAGAGGTGACTTGTCTAAATCACAAAAGGGCGAGTGATATTAACCTTAGGACCAGAACAACAGAGCTCCTGGACAACAGCTGGGGGACATAAATCTCATCCAGCTAAGACGCAGAAAGATATTTAATAGAAGTATAATCAAAGGATTTTTTTTTCCTTCTCTCCTAGACTTAAATAGTTCAGTGGGAATTATGTCACTCTCAAACCGGGGCAGGACCAGCTGCCCCTGGGTGTGCACACCCATTAAAAGACAATCCAGTGACTGGCTGCCTGCATTGGCATCTTCCCCATGGCATTCTGAAATCCCCATGCTAGACTTGTCTTGGAAGTAAAGGCTGTAGTAGCCCCAGAAGCAGCTGTTCAAATATGTAAATGCTAGCTGCGACTGAGTGCCCACTAGCGCCACTGCAAAGATTGATTATTCCAATGAGCTGCAGCCCTCTGAGAGCGAGGACTTCAGAACCTTACCAAAGCCAAACCAGGAAGAAACTTTAGAAATCATCTGGTTTAGATTTTGTGTTTGGGAAACAAGAGCCAGAGAGGTTACCTAACTTACTCAAAAGTCACCAGCAATTCAGTGGCAGAGCTGGAGTGGAGCCCAGGTCTCCCCAGGGGCTTGTTTCTGGAATCATCTAATCTAGAAATCTCTTCTTTAAAAGATGAGGAAACCAAAGTCCACACAGGAGAAGCAACTGGCCATGTCTGGACCGCAACCGCATCTCTCATATTACCTGTCCAGTGTCGACCACCTGGTGTCCTCTCTCAGGTCCCCGGGAGAGAGGGTAAAGTAAATGCTGGCCTGATGATTTGCATCTGGGGACATCTCCAGTTAATCTAACAGGAGTGAAGTGCTTCAGGCACTTTGGGAAACAGACAATGAGTAAAGAAGGGAAAAGAGAAGCTGTAGGGCCTGTGGGCCCTGAAAGTGGGGACAGCATAGCGTGATTGGACACAGGGTGATCCCCCTCCAAAAGCCCACACAAAGACCATAAATGTCCCAGGCCATGGCCCCCTCAGGGCCCCCTGTTTTCTCCTCGCCAATGACCGCCTTAGTCCCTCCCTGAGAGAGAATAAACCCAGATTCACAGCCCCAGATTTGGCTCTTTTCTCTGCAGGGGAGGCTGAAGGGTAGATAACAGGGCAGGTGAAGTGGGACTGGGAACAAAGCCGGAGTTCTCACTGGCCTTTCCCTTCTCAGTCAGATGGGACAGGGCCTGACAAGGATTGTCCCTGAGCACCAGCTATGGGCCAGACTCATTTTTATGGATAATACATTTT